AAGGTTCATACTAGTCTATTTATTATAGTTCAAATTGGGCAAATATATTTGATTGCATTCTGATTTTATAGGATGATTATCAGTCTATATATCTGTTGCCTGTCCGTCTGCCTGCTCGGTAAACAGCTATTTCTTTTTATTTGAGCTGAACAATTTTTTCCTCTTTTACATTTTCAGATCATTTAATCAAGGTTTATATTCTATTATAGATTTAAAAAACATGCTTCCACTGAGGTTGCCAGCTAGTCAAAATGATGCTAAAATTGTTTAAACAAAATCCCTTGGGGTAAGGAGACAATGGACAGGACTTCAATTGATAAACAAGAAAGTGGCCACTGGTAACTGTAACCAGCTCTTGTTCATGATTTGGAGGCCCCAATAATCTCCATAGCCTTATGAGAGACACCTCAACTAAAGTTCATATGACTAAGACAATTCATTGTTGCTGAATCTGATGGTATATTCACGCCTTCAAATATAAAAATGGGATTATTTATGATAACGAGTGTTTTCTTTCAAATGCAGATGTCTCCGTTTTTCTTGTGTTCCAGCCAGGAGATTCAGGTCAGACCAACAAAGTCACCAGTCAAATAATAATTTTTAAACAAAAATTTATACAATGTGTATGTTGTACTTACAGATGCTTAGTGAGCAGTACAAACAATGTCACAAATTTCTTCAGTGCTCAAATGTTAAAACACCCACGGTTAACAAAAAATAACAATTCCATTTAATTTTCCATGTTAAGCTTACTGCCTCTAGTGCACTATATTGTTATCAATCTTCTGGATGTTCAACAACTAAAATTAAGAGATAATTATAAATTCCTTTTGGATTCTTTTTGCTAGGGTCCACCAGAACTTTTCCAAAAAAACGTTATATGATGCATATTGGGGCCATAATTAACTATATTCAACTGGCATTAAATGACACCGTAGCTGATCTCTCTCCTAAATAAAAAGGTAAAATTAATGAAACAGGCCATTCTCCAAAAATCAGATGGCATTAGACATTCTAACAGCATAAGAGATACTTATACAATTGTAAAACCTAAATGTGTATATGACATATGAATGACATGTCAGTTTCTAAAATTCCCTGGACCTTATCCTCCTTATGGGAAGCCATTACTAAAGTTATAATCATAAATACCCTTTTGATTGTATTATTTGACTCTTGCATACCAATTGATTCTTTGCATTTGTCTCCTTTAGACTTAAAACTGTATACCTACCCAAGATAAAAACCAGATGTCTTGTGACTGTAGAGGAGACAGATACCTTTTACTTTGGGCCAGATCCCAAGACAAAAGGCTAAACTTGGCCCTCAAACCCCACAGGGGAGACCTTCTTAATATGGCTTTTCATGTTTTCAACAACAGAGATAAAAATCAAAAGGAAAAATAACAATCTGATCTCTTAGCAGTGACACTCGGAGCTCTGAGACAGGTAAACTGACACAAGGTGGAGCTGCCTGAGTCCCTCCCGGACCATGCTTCATATACAACAAAGGACATTGGGCAAGAGAGTGCACCAACCCGGCATTCTTCTGGGTTCTTGCCCCTATTGCAATCTCAAGGGCCATTGGAAGAGTGACTGTCCTAGCTGCCAGAGGGCAAGAAAGCCATTCTCTAACTCATTGCCCTCATAGGAGATCTCATCATCACCAGATTCATCGCTGACTGATCTACTCGGACTTGCTGCTGAAGACTGATAGGGTTAAGGTCCTTCTCAGAGCCCCAAGTCCCACTGGAGGTCTCAGGTAAGATAGTCTCTGTACTTGTGGACATGGGGCCATGTATACTGTTCTTTCTAAGTTTTCAGGCAGCTAAGTCCTCAGTCTCTATCATGGGTATTGATGGCCAACTTAGGCAGCCTTTGCAGACAGGGCCTATTCCACGCAGGTTCCAGACTCCTTTCTTCTCTGGTTGATCCCACAGTTTGAGATACCTCCAATCCCACCTGCACTACCCATGCCATGCCTATTTTAATTCATCTCAGGGATCCTTCAAATTTTCCATGCGTTTCCCCAATATACCATAGCTCCCAAACTTTTACAGAGACTTCACCTGTAATTAAGCACCTTTTAGACAATGATTTTCTTAAACTACACATTCACCATATAATACTCCCATTCTCCTGGTACTCAAGCCTGATGCATCTTACCATCTAGTGCAGGACCTTGGGGTAATCAATAATGACATTACCCCAATCCACTCAGTGGTGCAAACCCTTATACCATGCTCTCTCATATCCCCCCCTAATCACTCACTTTACAGTCATAGATCTTAAAAATGCCTATTATTCCTTTGTGCTTATGCAGACTTGCATAAGCACACACCTGTCATCTCTATAGTAAAACCTTTCCTTAGGGACACATAATACCTCCTTCCTTTCTTATTCATCAATTTCACAGACTCATCCCTGGTCAGGACTGGCACATGCCCTGCCACAAATCTCTCAAATATCTTCTCATCTTTGTACTTTTTCAGGATAGATAAAAGCCTTTCCCACAACCAGGGAGACTGCTGATATACTTACTAAAGTCCTGTTACAGGATCATCCCAAGGACTACAACCAAGGTAGAGCAGCCCCTACCTGGTCTTCTTGGCAACCCCAATAGTGGTCAAAGTTGCTGGACTGCCATCCTGGTTCCACATCACTCAAGCTAAGTGGTGCCCTCCCAGCCCTAAATCTAATCATCCTGAGTGGTCATATCATCTTCTATCGTCCATCCATCTCCTTCTCACCAAGGCCTCACAGCCACAACTCTCAGGCTAAGTCATGTTTTGTTATCTAATTTGGTTCCTAATTTCTTATATTCTATTAATTAATTATATTTTATACAGCAGGACTCTTGACAGTCTTTCCTAAAGACTCCCACATCATGCATAAGATTGTCTTCATGTTCTTCTACATTACAACTGTCTTAGTTCTCTCTACCCTCAGCTGTTTAGTCAAACATGAGATCCCTGTGGGCCTAGGCGCTTATCTCCCTTATAGTGACATAGCCATGGCCCTCCCCAGCCCTCTTATTTTTTCCAGCTCAACTCCTGGACCAGAGTCAAGTCCTACCTACCTACACTCTTTAACTTTTACCCTTTCAGACGGGGGAATAATCACTTCTCATAACTTCACTCATCCTAACCCCACACTTATTTTTCAGAATTCTACCTCACCGTGGTCCTGATAGAACAGCATACTTAAATCAAAGACACCTTTCCTTCTACCTCCCCTGGGTTCTTAAATATGATAGTGGCCTTCCTCCTCATAGCACCTTGTCTCTTTGTTTTTCTAGTCTAAGATGCAGGGATTCACCAATGATGAAGCTGTCCTGGCTAAAACACCTGGTACCAGCTTCTACATGGGCATCAACCATCATCCCATCAACCTTCCTAAACCTCAATACGGTGCCCCCTTTCAGCAGGAAGTAGTAAGAAAGAGACTTTGCCTTTTTCCTAACACTACAAAGACGGGAATGAAAGGTTCTTGCCTCAGTAGAAATTGTGGCGGAGGTGGTCTAACAAGGTGGAAGGCCAAAGTGGGAATGCCTACCACTTCCTGCTTCTTCCCCAGCTCCTGTTTGCTCGTGAAGAAAATTCCCAACTGGCTGCTCGTGTGTCAGCAATGCCTGCCCTAAGCACCACCACAGCTGGAAATTACATGTATATCTCATGCCCCACGTTTCCAGCAGAGAAAACCAGGCTCCAGTGGTCATGGAGTTCTCTTCATGTCCTTAGAATAAAGGCTATTTTTACTTTACATTCTCTCTTTTATTGTGCCAAAAACTCTTTCACTTCTATTCTCCCCTCCCCCCCAAATTATACACATTCACATATGGGGACAGCCAAAGTTATGGTAAAAAAACAGAATACATGGCTGACTGGGAGAGCTCACATCTGTAATCGTAGTCACTCAAGAGAACAAGCAAGATGATCAAAAGTATGAGGCCAATCTGGGAAACATAATGAGATTATCTCAAAAAAAAAAAAGTGCAATACACTGTGTAGTACATATCATATGAACTATGCTTAAGGGCATTCTGCTTTCAACACTGGGTATGCACACACCTCCCCATCTCTTGCAGTGGGCTCCTAGGAGGTCCAGTAATGCTGGATGAGTTCAACTTTTCTCCAGGAACTAAGTAGCTGAGCAGACATGTATCCACAATCTTTGTCCCTACCTTATCTTCTAAATACTAGTAAAGATTTCAAACGTTTGTGGGCTCTCTCAACAGTTTTCATTTATTCTGACAAGTATCTTTGAAATTGAGTATGAATAGTTAGATAGAGGAGTAGAAATGGGAACCATAAATACTAGAAACAAACAAATCTTTATCATTTCAATACTCTAGAGAATCAAATCAACTTAATGCATGCAAGGTATATATAATCTTTGTGTTTAATTTATAGACAAATTTAAAAGGACAGTCTGTGCAAGACTTATTTTCATTCGAAAGCTAACAAAGCCTTATTCACGTTTTGTTGAAAATACTCACTATTGGTTAAATCATTCGTGGACTCTATAAACATTGTTAGGATAATAATAAAGAGATGTTTACAGAACTGTACTAAATTTTCACAATTAAACAACTGATTTCACCCAGGCAAACAATAACAATATTCAATGAAACTACTCTTCACAGTAAAATATCTGCCAACGATAAAAGAATTTTGATCAATGTTTTCAGTGAATATATTACAACTTCACTGTCAACTATTGTTTTATTCTATTCTTTAAGAGCATTACTAAAATAGCTAAAGTATATCATTTTCATCACCTAGCTCATTTCTATAAAATGCCTTAAGGGTAAAAGGCTAATTCATTGTGAAAACACATTCCAGGTAATGAGGCTGACAACTCTGTCATTTTGTTTCAGCTTAGCAATCTTGTAGTAATTTATTTTCAAGATATATAAACTAAAAAATTGCCTTTAATTTCTTATGTACTAATTAAGGAAGAGCAACGACTAGGAATAATAAACACAGTAACATAACTCACCTAAATAGGGAATGCAAGGTGTCATCTTTAAGCTACTTATATAGTCTCTGAGTCTTTTGTAGTTATCTTCTTTACTCATTACATACTCTAATTTTTCAAAGGTAGTTTTGTCTTTTCGACTTAATAACTAAAAAACAAACAGAAAAGCCTAAGTTATTTACAAGTTTCATTTTATTGTAGCAAAGATCTGAAACTATATTTACTATGAATTTGGATTTTAATTTAAACATTACACCTTCCTTAAATTATATTTTGCTTAAAATAAAAATCAAACAATCAGATAGAACTGTGAATAACTCAAAATATTTATAAATGTACATAATTCTTAACTAGTAAATAATACATATTTCTCATCTTTACTCTTTTAGATGATTGAGCAATTTGATTTTTATTAAAAATTATATTCTCATTTAGCTCTGTCTATTTTATTGACTATCTCCTCAAAAATAAGATCATTTTTGCATAATCTAAAAGAAATACTGAATTTTGTGAGTAATAATTTTTCTTGACAACTTTAATGATGGTTAGTCTTAATAAAATTTCTATTTCCCTACATTTTGGACTTCTGACAAGACTTTTTGTCTTTGCCAGCACTTCATCATGTACAGCCTAACTTAGGCTTGAGGAGTAAATTTGAGGTGAGTGCTATTTCAGATCAATAGAGATAATAAAGGGGAAAAAAAGGGCAAGGTTGACCAATCACCTCCGTATTAACTAAAAGATTCAGAAAAAAATTTTCATACAAGAGACTAGTAAAAGTTTTTTTCTTTAAATATACGAAGCAACTATTTTATTATTTGTAACAAGATTTCACTTACTTCTTGTCAAACCATTAGTGCTATTTTACAGCATGCAAAACACTTCCCCTATAAAATTCTCATCTAATTTTCCTAAGAAGTTGACAGAAAAATTTGAGTACACATGAGCAGTCTGACTTCAAAGGCAACCACAGGATTAGCAGAATGTATTAACATTCTCAAGTCATGCACTCACTCATAAATACATATGTTTTTTCTAGGTCTCAAAGTCTGGTGCTGGAGATAGGTAGGCTATTTGGACATAATCTTTCCAGAACTACAAAGAGTATAGTTGGAATCTACTTTTCATGATTGAGCAATTAAGTGTGTCAAAGATTCCAAATACCTTTACATAATCTCGATCACAAAAATAAGTAGTATTCCTGCTTTAAAATATGCTTTCAATGAGTCTTTTGCTTTAATGTTTTTGATAAAGTTCCAGTGTCTAAAATAGTTTTATAATCTTCCCCTGTACCCATGTCAACACAATTTATTAGCATTCCCCAGGTAAGGTGCAAAAGTCTGCTTGCTAACAGTTAATCAAATCAACCATTTTGAATAACAAAGTACTCAGATAAGTAAAACAGTTAGAATGTTGTAATAACAACAACAATAAATGGTAACAATAAACAATATCAAAAACAACCAATAAACAATATCAAAAACTCTGATAGAAACAAATTACTTGAAACTCTTAATTGATCTTGCTACATATAAAATTTTAAAATGTAGTAAAAACCTACTTTTGAAATTCTCATAATAAATCAGTAATCAGATTAAATATGTGGTAGGATTAACAGAAGAATATAAAAAACCACTTCAGTGTAGATTTCCCTAGTGATATTCAGAACCTTGAATTACTTTACTATGAAGTCTTAACTTATTTTCTGAGGGCTTTTTAAATGTTTGTATTATCTTTTATATTACTTCATTGTATTCTACCCATTAAAGGGTGGGGGGGAAACAAAGTAGTTAATGACTTAATTTTTTTTTTTTAATCGGTACCAGGGATCGAACTCACAACCGCCTGCTTGCAAGGCAGGTGCTTATGCTGCTGAGCTAAATCCCCAGCCCCCTAATGACTTTATAATTCCACAGATTTTCTCATAAATAGTCTTTTTGGCCAAGAGTATGATAACTAGAAGGAAAGTTCTTCGTGCTTTCACTTGTATTACTGAAAGAGACCCACAGATTTCTGGATAGATGTTATCCACGTAACATCACAATACGCCTGCTCCTAACAGGTGTGGTGATGCATGCCAGGAAAATTCGCCATGAGTTTGAGGTCAGGCTGGGCTATATACTGAGTTCAAGACCGGTTTATCTCAAAAAATCAAAAAACAAAGTGCACACACACACACACACACACACAAAACAGTACACCCGCTCATGTCAGTCACTGTAAGAAATGCAAGACTCCTCATGCTTTGATTTGTATTCCTGTGCAATATGTATAGATACTTACTTGCATATTTATTCATCTTTGAATTTGGGTACAGATTATAATCCTTTGGTCATGACATTATTATTTTTTGCTGGTACAAGTTTATTTTATTTTTAAATTTTATAACAAATATATATGCATTACCTTAAAACCTAAGAACTACACACCAGTACTGTACCTACTTATGTGTTTCTTCTATATTTCATTTCCTTATCATAGAAAGTAATCAGCAATAGCAATCCTAAATCTTTGGTTCATCATTTTCTTATACTTTATTTCGTACTGACTACAGAGTATCATAAATTATTTATAGTTGTCATGGTTTAAGTCAGTAGACCCCAAGCCTCATGAATTATGAACTCAATCAAATCTAGCATTTGTGATTGGTTCATCGTCTAGTGCTCGGATTGGTGGTGAGTGCTACACCCACCTAGGGGTGGAGCCAGCATATGACCTACCAGCGAGAAAAAGGTGTCTCTCTTTTTCTGGTTTATGCTTTGTTGTTTACAGCAGCCTGTGAATGGCTGCCCTGCCATGCCACGTTGACTTAGAGCCAGCTAAGTATGGACTGAAACCTTCAAGAACTCTAAGAAATAAACCTTTCCTTCCTTAACTTTGGGCATCAGGTATTTTGTCTCAACAACAAGTAAAAAGTAACTAAGACAATACTCTTCCACCGAAAAAATTATTATTTGTACTTGTATTTGGTGGGAATAATTCTGGGGATTGATCCCAAGGTCTCTGGTAAGTCCATCATTTGAGCTACATCCCACATGACAACTGCTTTGGTTTGCTCAATATCTGACATGAAGATTTTATTCATGAAGCTGCAGGTTGCTGTATGTCACTCATTTTTATTGCTTCCATGTGTACTTTCTTTTCCAAAGATACCTTTCGAATGCTCATTTTAATTTTTTTATTTTTTCTTTTTGGTTTAAGAGTTCTTATTAGCAAATTCTTGATTGGTTACAGCTGTTGTACCTATTCCCTAGTTCCTGTCTTTTCAATTTTCTTTAAAGTGTTTTTTGATGAACAGAAAGCATATCCACCTTTTCTTTCATTTCTGGAACACTGTATCCTTACCTATGCTATGCCAAACCAGAGAGATAATCACCCATTTTTCTTTCCAGAGCTTTAAAGTTTTGCACTTCACATTCATATGACAATGATTTTTATAAGTAGTACAGTGGATAGATTTTATTTTGTCTTAATAACCTATTTTCTAGTTCCAATTAATAAATAATCTATTTCTTTGTGGATTTACAATACTTCCATTTGTCACATCAGTGTTCTAAAGCAAGGATCTATTTCTGGCTACATTATTCTGTTTTCATTGGTAGATACATCTAAACTTGCTCAAATCTTACACTGCTCAAATTACACAATAAATTTGATATCCATTACATTGCTCATGTCCCTAACCTCCATTTTCTTTAAGACCTTTTATACCTGTGCTTTTCCATATAAATTTTATAATCAATCTTACCTCCCAGGATTAGGGTACATGACAGGTAAAATTGTATTTAAGATATATGTCTTGAGATATACAGTGAAATGTGTATCAATGTGATTAATAAATCCATATAGTACAGTAAAAATATCTCCAATATCTAATTTCTTAGTAAATTTCAAGTATACAACATAGAATTATTAAATACAATCACCACGCATGCTGTGCGTTAGATTTTCAGAACTTATTTATTTTACATAACTCAAACACTGTACCCATTGACCAAAATCTCCCAGATTTTTCTATTCCCCAAACTATCATTGTATTCTTGCCCTTTATGTGTCAGACTTTAGATCCCACAAGTGAGACATGGTATATTTCTCTGTAACATGGTTTATTTCAGTTAGGATGATAATATTCTCCAACTTCATTCTTGTTGTTGCAAGGACCAAATTTTCTTTTTTTTGAAGGCTAACAGTACCTTACTACACTGTTAATCCAATCACCTACTCATAGACTTTTAGGTTGCTTCCATATCTTAACTACTGTAAATAATTTTGTAATGAACATACTCTTTCAGATATGGAATTTCCACTTTTATGGTTTCAGTCCATGATCATTTTGCCTATAGCTTCGGGCCTGTGATACAGCAGAACATCATGGTGGGGAGTGCACTGCTGAACAAAGCTGCTCATCTTTCAGTAGCAAAGTAAGACAGAGAAAGAGAGGGTAGAGCCCCATTATCCTTTCAAAGGTACGCCCCTCAACAATCTAACATCCTACCAGGTCATGTCTCCCCCACCTATCAAAGGGTACAGAACCTCCCACCAGAACCACCAGCGTAGGAACGATCCTTTACACGAAGCTTCGAGGGACAATTAATAACAGCTCTGTATCTATTAAACAGTAACTCCCATTCTCACCTGTTCCAGTCCCTGGCAACCACCATTCTACTCTGTCTCTGTAATTTTGACTATTCTATGTACCTCAAGAAAGTAAAATGATATCTGAGTTGTAAGTGTGCTTATTTCATAATATTTTCCAGATTACCTATGGTACAGAATTATCACAGAATTTCCTTTGAATAATATTCATTGTATGTATGTACCTTTCATTTATCCAGTCATCTACTTATAGATATTTGGATTTTTATGTTATGTCTATTGTGAATTATGTTTCTCCTGACACTGATGCAAAAGTATCTGTTTGTGAGCCAGGTGTGATGATGCACACCGGTAATTCCAGCATTCTCAAGTGTGAGGAAAAAGGAGCCCAAGTTCAAGCCCAGCCTGGGAAACTCAGTGAATTAAGACTCTGTCTCAAAATAAGCTAATAACAATAGAACTGGGGATCTAGCTCAGTACTCTGTATAGACTCCCTAGTATTACAAACAAAAAACCAAATGGCTAACAAAACACAAGACGAAAATCTGTGTCTTTGCTTTCAATTCTTTTATATATATATATATCCAGAAGCAGAACTTCTGTACTGCATGGCAGTTCAATTTTTAAGGAGAAATATTATTGTTTTTCAACATTTTCTGAAATTTATTTTGGATTGTCTTGTAGGTAAGTGAATGTCATAAACAATGTTTACTTCCCCTTTTCTACATCAGAGAAAAAGTTTCTTTTTCTTATACTGCACAGGATATTTCTATGTTGAATAGAAACACTAGGAAGGATATTCTTTTCCTTGATGTTAAAGAGACCATCCTTAATATTGTCCTTATTACAGGATGTTGTAGTCTTTTGGGCACATGTCTTTTATCAGTGAAAAAAAAAAATTCCTCGTTCATTAAAAATTTTAACCCAAGCAGAACTCAAACTCACAAAATATTTTCTAACTTGACCCAATACAAGTTTTCCAATTGTACTTTCTGAAATTCAATCTCCACCTCTGCAAAATCCCCGTTTTTAACATTTTCTCTAAGCATTTTTTTCTTTTACATCTGGTGATTTAAGTCAAGTATATATCATCTTTGCTCTTCAAAATCTCTTCCAGTTTATCCCACTTTCTTCCCTAAAATCATCCACCATCTAATCTGCTGTGCTTTAAACTTAATAGATGGTAAGTGCTGTTCAACAAAATTTTGTGATGATGGAGACCCATGTGCTGTTTAATGTAACAGTCACCAGCCAACATGTGCTACTTGGCTAGCTAGTATGGCTGAGGAAGTGAATTTGTAATTAAGGATCTAAATTTAATAGCTACATGTAGCTGGTGGCGCCTGTATTAAACGATACCAAGACTGTCATGTTTATGTTACTGGCATTGACTGACTACAAGTCATTTTCCCTCTATATCCAGAAGACTTTAGAAGGTGGAGAAAAGGGTCAATGAACCAAAATTTTCCTTTTGAAAAACATTAATGATCACAATGTTCACGGAGATGACATTCTCAATATGATGAGATTTCTGACTTCTTGATTTTTCCAGTCATCCAATCTCTCCACAACTTTCTACTTCTACTCTGTCACCTTGAATATGGTAGTTCACTAGGACTTCTAATCTGGTAACCGTATCACCTTTTCACTGTTCATCACCTCCCTCATTTACTTGTAGTTTCTTTATCAATAAAACAACTCAAATACTTCCTTTTTGATCTCTTGTGCTACCTTAGATGCCTTTGGTACAAAAACTTGTAGAAAAATACCAACTTTGTTTAAATACAATTTTTATTATGCAGTGTTTGTGAGCGTTTTTAGTTACATTGTTGTGGCTGCCTCAAAGCTTTGAACTGATTTGAAACATTTACCTTTCACATGCACCTTACTGAAGATCCAGAAGTTGTACAATGCCAGATTCCCTATAGTACAGGGAAATACTACAATGTTTTTACCAGCCTGCCTTTCAGTGAATGGTCCTGAGCAACAGCATTCACTAGATATTTTTATTTCAGTCTTACAAAGACACTTTGCAAAAGACGACTTCCACAACTACCTCAGAAAGTGGCAAGAATGATGGGATAAGTATATTTGAAGTGAAGGAGAATCCTTTGAGGGGATTAATGACAATGTGTTTCTCACTGTCCTACAATACATTTTTATTTAAACACCATGTTTTGATCAGTTCTTGTATTTGCAGATATGAAAACTCATACCTTTACTCTGGTCATATCATCAGAATATAGAACAATATGATTCCAGGTTTACCACCACATTGTTCACTACTAATAAGGAAAAAACCTTGGGCTGGGGATTTAGCTCAGCGACACAAGCGCCTGCCTGGAAAGCTTGAGGTCATTAGTTCAATCCCCAGTATCGCAAAAAATAAATAAATAAAAATAAAAAAATAAGGAAAAAACCTTAAGATTTATGACTAAAAAAATTAATGGAAGTATAAACCACTAATTTTTTTCAAACTTGCAATTTATATTTTCCTCAAACCCATTAAAATCATAATCATAACACGATTAAATGCCATTTTTTGGAAGGAATACTTTCCCCATGAGGTGAATATGAAACACTATGCTGTTAAAGATGCTTTAAAAGGATAGAAATCAAACACCAAACTGTAAGCTACTCACAAATTACCTGACAAACCTGACCAAACACTTCAGAGAAAATGCAGAGTTCAAAGTACAAAGTAATTTAAAACTTATCTATTATAATGATTAATCATACTAAGAACCACTAAAACAAAACAAAACATGATTTCTTTACTACCCAAAGGAAAGCTAATCTTTTATTACTAAGGAAAATTACTTACCGCCCACGTTTTAGTTAACCTGAAAATTGGAGCACTCTGTAAGCCAGAAACCACTGCCATAAGTGCATGAAGATTATTCAGTTCATACAATTTCTGACAATTTAAGAAAAAAGGAGAGGGTAAAAAGTTTAAAAATGAATATAAGACAAATATAGACTGATAAGCACAATTCAGGCAATCAATGATGCTCTAGTGTTTAATTATTTTCACACTTGAGATTTGTCTTTGGAGTACCCATTATGTTTAGAGCAAACTGTTTTTTGGCACAGAAAAGAAGTTCCCTCTTGTAAACTGATCACTGTTGCCAAACGCTGGGAATAAATCTATCTCTAACAGGGTAACATATTTAAAAACCAGTTATGACTCAAGATGAAATTTAGCTGGTATTATCATGCACCAGGGTTCTAGTAAGCAGTTTCCTTTCTTATACTGAAATATTACTAATCCTTAGTCTCATGTTCCAAATTTCAAGAAAGGGTCTGCCCCGCATTTTGATCAGCTTTCTTGCCAAACACTCTAATTATTCCAAGGCTAGGGTTCAAATCTTGCTTCCACTGTTCGTGATTTCCTGCTCCCTTCTGCCTTAAATTTCAGATCCTTTACTTTTTATTCATTCTGGGACATTACTTTTAAAGTCTGTGTGCAGAAAATGCCCAACAACTAGGTTTAATCAATTTGCCGAGAGTTCTACTTGACATATATTGCTAATTTTCCAGATTTTATACCACTTCAAACATCCCAAAGGTTCTATCTAAAAACCTGCCATCTTAGAACTTTCCTAACTTTGCTACCAGGTAAGCTCCATGTCTAGAAAATGCCAGAGGTGAGGCATTTCACTGAAACCTACATGAAAATAAAAACAAAATAGAAACCTTCACTCAGAAAGGTTGTATTATCTAGCTGGGGAATTATTTAATCACTAAACGTGTTAAGCATTTATGGTGGACTGGGTACTCTGTTAGATTCTGTTTGTGTAAGAATGAAAAAAGATCTAAAAAGAAGAAATTCTGCTGCAAGACTGCTGTTTCAACTCATGTGTGAGTTCCCAGTCTGCTGGGATGCCCTACAGATTTCATACTTGTCAGTCCCTATAATCACTTGAACCACTCCTTACATCTCTTCATGTATTGCATGTTTAAAACTTGATACATTTTTTTTTACAGAACGTTATTGGTCTGTCTTTCTGGAAAATACTGACTGGCACAATCTGCTGAAGGAAAAGACAGACCTAGTTTTGTAATGAACTGAATATAGAAAGCAGAGAGTCAGAACCAAGGGATTTAAGAGTGATGAAAAAAAAATGATGGTCCGAGAAAGGCAAAGCTGTCACAGAGAACAAAGTCTTACGACTCTAAACAAGAATCAAATGATTATACAATGAAAAAGACATGATAGGTTTAATGAGCAAAACTTGATGAACATAAAAGCAAAAAACCACTAAAGTATCAAAAAATGGAAATTCACAATCTCTGAGAAAAGCATTAATTTGTATTTTCCTAAAAATCAGTATTTACCTAAACTATTACAAAGAATGTTTCTGGATTTTTATGATCCTTCTGAAAAACAACATGTATGTAGAAGGCAAGCTCTGCCACCTAGTGCCCCAGAATTTATTAGAATCTAACTGTTTCCATGTGAGGAAACTGTGGAAGAGCTACAAAAGAATAATTGCACACATAGTACTCCTCACTTTAATCTATCTTTTTTGTTCACAGGTAAGTTATGATTATAAGACTCATACAGAACCAACATGGCTATCATTAATCACACTTCTTAGTGAACTTAATATAAATTTGCACTTGTCACAGGTTTATCTCACTGTCCTTTTTCGGTATGTCCTTTTAGTTCTTTCCTGCTATATTTATTTTCTGCACCACAAAATAGTTGTTCAGTGAACATATCTGGTAATATCACATACGCTATTCTTATTTATTTATTTATTTGAGACAGGGTTTCGCTATGCAGTTCAGGCTGGCTTTGGGCTCACTTTGTAGCCCAGGCTGGTCTCAGACTTATGATGATCCTCCTGCCTCAGCCTTCCGAGTGCTGGGATTACAGGTGTGTGCCACCACACCCAGCTAGCATACACTATTCTTATAAAAATAAAAGAATTTTTATTCTCCACATCTGGCAGGGTAATCTATTTTGAAAGTTAATTTAAAAATGGCTACATATTCTTCTACTTAATCTTATATGGCTTTTTCCATCACCTTCAAAATAGTGTAGTATTTTACAAATATCATACTTCATCATAATTTGACCTCTGTCCACTTATCTAGTAAAACAGATAACATAGTTTAGTTACTCAGGGAGAAGAAAGAAGTATATAAAAGGTGGAGAAAACAAGAAAAACAATGGAGAAGGATTCAATTAAAACAGAAAAGATACTTTTTCCATGATCAATAAACAGTAAATAAAGTATCACAGGGAAATAGTTATTTAAAACATTTCTGAATGACTGAACTAAACAAAACATGTTTTTCTTACCTTAGCAGTTTTAATATAGTGGCTCAAAACTTCTGCTCTAATTTTCAATGTTTGAGCATGAAGAATCTCTCTAACGACCCAAAAGCTTACCTGAAAATAAAAATTAAAGATTGCAGGACAAGATTAATTTGCTAAGATCAAATTAGTGACAAAAATGACTGGGTGAACTTCTAGAACTGCATTAAAAATAATGATTTATTTTTCCCTTTAACATCACTGAGACATAACCAGCTTTCAAATATTACATATTTTTCATATAATGACAATGAGAAAGATACAGATATGAACATGTGAAATATATATACATACATAAAGACATCACTAACTTGTAAAAGTTAATATGAAGTGTTAGGGAAAACAGGTTCCTAGAAGAATGCAATACAACCAAAACAGTACAGCCTAAACATTTGTATAAATATCTTTTTTTATTTTTAATCTTTACTATATTTTGAAACATATGGGTAGAATTAGGTGAGACCTTGTCATGATTTATGTCAACGGCCCCCAAGACTCATGCAATTACGCATTCGTTTGTGATTGGTTCACTGTCTATCGCTTGGATTCGTGGTGTTACACCTGCCTAGGAGTGAAGTCAGGATACGATGTAATGGTGGGAAAATGCGTCTCTCTCTTGCCACTTTCTGTCTTGCAGCAGCCATGAATGGCTGCCCCACCATGCAGCTGAGTATGGACTGAAACCACCAAGAACTGTGTAAGAAACAAACTTTTCCTTTCTTCATTTTGTGTGTTGGCTATTTTGCCCCAGCAACAAGTAAAAAGTAACTAAGGCAGATCTAAAAGCAGACCTTACAAAAGTTGTCACTTTGTGTGTGTGTGTGTGTGTGTGTGTGTGTGTGTGTGTGGCTTTATAGTCCCATGCTACCATTTAAGGCTTAAGATTCCAAATTTAATGAAACTATTTCTTCATTTAAAAACACTAAAATTCATCAGAAGGCAGATGAACGTCTGTAATATTCTGAAAGTCTAAATATTCTGGTGGAAAGTTTGCTTATGATGTAATAAGTATATAACAGTGTTTTCTTTTATGTATTACTAATACCAAATCAAAGTACTTACTGTAAGTTAAACTTACACAAATCTAAAAACAGGATGTAGGTAGGGCTCTCAGTATAAAAAGTAAAAGATAATGTTTTACTTTTTAGATGAGAAATATTTTACGTGTGCATGTGTAAATGTAAAACTATAAATTTTACAAAGTCATGCAATACTTGATGTATTAGAGCTACTAGTGACAGTAATTCTCCCACTATAACAAGATTTACTTACCCTCAGAAGAACCTCAAAGTTACACCATAGAATTTTTTTTAGTGGTGCTAGAGATCAAACCCAGGCCTTGTACTATAGTCAAGTCCTCTGCCTCTAAGCTACATCACACGCTAAGATGTTTTAACAATAACCTTAGCAAAAATCAACTATGAATTCAAATCTAAATTGCAATCACTGATGCAGACAATTTTTAAGATGAAAACTATGGTGATTTTAAAATACAAATTCTCTGTCACTGCTCTTGTCAAAAGTTGTTATCTTTCACTAAATCTGGGCATGTTTGTGATTGCTTTGATTAAAAAGTATTGGAAAAAGTAATGTGGAGCTCCAGAAGGAAACCATAGAAGCCCACATAGCCCTCCATCGTTGACTGCTGGAATACTCACTCTGGGGAGCCTGGAGCTATGATGTAAGAAGCCCAATGACCATCATGCCGGAAAGGTGAAATATGGGTATTTTGCAACTGACAGCCCCAGCTAAAGCCAACCACACCTAAGAATATTGACCCAGAGTGACCAACATCAAAACACAAAATTGCTAGGCTTAAAAAAATTTTTTTGGTTATCTAGAAAAAAAGGAAAAAATGACTTTTAAAGAAAAGACTACTGTCACACTTTTCAGCAGAAATACTCCATGTCAGAAGAAGAAAACAGCAATATATACCTTCGTAGAGATCAGGAGAAACAGAGAGGGAGTACACCAAGAACTTCAAATAATAACACTGAAACTACAAAATGTCAATATGCTTCCCACAAGGAACCACAAAACACACAGCCAGTATTTGATCTAAAGGGAGAACTGGACTCAAATACTATGCAGTTAACAGTGAGGGAATTCACCAGCCCACTTTCCTCAATGGACATATCATCTAGACAGAAATGTATCAAAGAAACATCTAAATTGAAACACTATATAGCAAATGGATCTAGGAGACATTTATTTACAGAACATTCATCCAAAGCAAAAAAATACACATTCTTACCAGCATGTGGAACAGTCTCTACGATAAAACATGTATTAGGGTACACATTAAGCCTCAATTAATTTAAAAATCTGAAATCATATTTTGTATCTTCTCAGACTACAACCAATTTGAACTACAAATCAACAAGAATGGAAACTCTACAAATACATGGAGACTTAAAAAATGGTTCTAAATGACTAACAGGTAGAAACTAACAGGAAGAAATCAAAAGAAAAATTTTAAAAATTTCTAGAAATTAAAAACAATGATGACATAAAGTATCAGAGTCTGTGTAATACGGCAAAAACAGTACTGAGAGAGAAGTTGACAGCAATAAATGTATTCCTCAAAAAAACTAGAAAGACCTCAAACAACCCAACAATGTACCTCAAAGACTTAAGAAAGGAAGAGCTAAGCAAACTCAAAGTTAGAAAGAAATAATAAAGACCAGAAATACAATCTAAACTATAAATAAAAACAGCAACAAAACTGGTAATACATGCCTATAAACCCATGACTCAGGGAGGCTGAGGCAGAAGGACTGCTTGAGCCTGAGTTGGGAAACTTAGTGACTTAGCAATACCTGTCTCAAAACAAAAAATTAAAAGGGACTTGGGATTTAGCGCAGTATAAAGTCCCAGATTAAATCTCCAAACAAAACCAGAGCTACGGCTGGGGATTTAGCTCAGTCACATAAGCGCCTGCCTGGCAAGCGTGAGGTTGTGAGTACCATCCTTGCTACAAAAAAACAAAAAACAACAACAACAAAAAAAAACCCAGAGCTAGGTTTTTGTAAAGATAAAGAAAACTGATAAACCTTTGGCTAAATACTGAAAAAGAAAGAACACAATTCACCAAAAATTTATCAAAAAGAAATTAAAAAATCCAAACAGACCAATAAGTAGTAAATAGATTGAAGTAGTAATTAAAAATCGCTCATTTTAAGAAAACATAGGAACTGATGGCTTGACAGCTCAGTTTTTCAAAGCATTAAAAAAAAAACAAAAACAAAACTAAAAGACGGAAGGGAGGGGAGGGGAACCAGGGGGAAAAGGGAATAATTAAGATATATGTTCTACATTATATACAGGTACAAATTCCCAATGATGAATGTGCTCATTATGTATGGAAAATATGTAGTGATAAAAAACAAGAAAGTAAATTTACACAAATTTACTCTGGCAACTCTTTAAATGAGATCAGCTTTAGCATTATACCAATACCAGACAAAGATGAAAAAAACTCAAAAAACAAAAACAAAACAGAATCAAAAAACTAGAGACCCATATCCCTGATGAATGGATGCTAAAAATCTCATTAACAACAGATGCAGAAAAAAAAGTATTTAATTAAAATTCCTTCATGATAAAAATTCCCAAAAAATTATGTATAAAAAGAAAGCACCTCATAGGTAATGAAAAACTCAGAGCCAGTATCATAGTGGATGGGGAAAAACTGAAAGCATTTCCTCTAAGATTTGGAATAAAACAAGGATGCCCATTTTCACTATTCTTTTTTTTTGTCTTTTTCGTTTTTATCGGTACCAGAGATCAAACTCACGACTGCCTGCTTGCAAGGCAGGTGGCTTATGCCGCTGAGCTAAATCCCCAGCCTCTATTTTCACTATTCTTAATACAGTACTGGAAGGTTTAGTGAGAGCAATTAGGCAAAAGAAATAAAGGACATCTAAATTAAAAAAGAGTAACAGATATCGTGACAGGGAAAGAAACTGCTCAAAAGGACAACTGGGATGGGGGAAAAGAGAAAAGATGGAAAAAATATATATATATACATACACCCAAAATAGCTAAGGTAATTATACTACTAATTTTGTAAATTCAGGAAAAGAAACTGTTTATATTGTTTGATATTTTGCATGCCTGTACCTTGTAACCTGAGCAACTATTTCAAAGCTAACAATATGTAATATAGTGACCATTGTTAATTTCCTATCAACTTGTTTTGAAATCCTGTATTGCTTTTATTGTTCTGGGTTTTTTTGTTTGTTTTTTTGGAGGGGTACCGGGGATCGAACTCATGAGCCAGTGCCTGCCAGACAAGGCACTTATGCCACTGAGCTAAATTCCTGGCCCCTATTTTATTTTCTTTTCATCTCTTTAAAATAAAAAATAAATTAATTACAAAGAATAAGGTTAAATTATGTATGTTTGTAGATGACATAATTCTATATGAGAAAAGGAATCCATTAAAAATCGTTAGGACTTATAAACTTAGTAAACTAAGATAAAAAAAATCAACATAGAAAAGGATTTCTATATACAACTAATGAACTTGCTGAAAGAAACTAAGAAACCAATCCCATTCACAATAGTTACAAAAAAAAAAGAAATAAAATTAACCAGAGCCAAAGTTCCATATAAAAAAGACACTAGTTTGCACTCCCACATTGATTGCAGTACTATTCACAATCATCAAAGTATAGCATGAAACGTGATGCTCTTCAGTGAATCAATGGATAAAGAAACTGGTTTATTTACACCATGGAATACTATTCTGTTATTAAAAAAAATTTAAAAAGAAATCATGTTATCTGCAGCAATGTGGATGAACTAGAGATCACTGTGCTAAGTGAAGCAAGCCAGAAACAGGGAGACAAATACCACATGTTCTCATCTGTAGAAACAAGTAAGTTAACCTCACAGAAGAATAGACTACAATAATGATAACTAAAGATAAGAATACTGAGAAGAATAACAGAAGAATTCAGTAAGCAGCACCAGTAACACAGATTGCAGGAATCACTACTGGTTCTTTTGCACAGACAGGTAACAATTAGCTAAAACAACCTACGATACATTTCAAAATGACTAGAATATGAAATCCTAACACATATTAATATTAAAGAGATGGAAATGTTTATTACCCTGATTTGATTAATATACAGTGTATATATGCATTATATTATCATAATGTATCCCATAAAGATAAACAAACTTTTTTTAAAAATTTAATGTTCAAAAAGTATTTAAGAGGGGCTAGGGACTTAGCTTAGTGGCCTAAGTGCCTGCCTGGCAAGTGCAAGGTTGTGAGTTCAATCCTTGGTACCAAAAAAAAATTAAGAAACTAAAAATAACATGACAGTAGGGTAAAAGCTACTGTCTGAAACAGGTAAAACATAGTCAATAGACAAGCAGCAAAGAATGTCAATTTCTATGCTGGGGCTTCAGCTCAGTGGCTCAAGTGCTTGCCTGGTGCAAGCTAGTGAGTTTCACTCCCAGTACCAAAAAACCCACATTTAATATTTAAGAATTTAAAAAAACCCCACAAAGATCATGAACATACACAGTATTTAAAGTTACTGGGTGAAAACAGTCCTCAACTGATGTGACTAAACTGTTGAATAAAAAATCATGTATTGAGAAAAGTTAAATTTCAGAAACTAAGTATCAAAATTTGTAACTTGAACAAGTATTTCTAAGATGACAATATGTAATGTATGAACTAGCCATTTCTTAATGTTAATTTTTTTTGAATTCTGTATCATTCTTTTTTCTATTTTTTTCTTTCTTTCTTTAAATAAAAAAAATTTTTAAAAAATAACTTACATGGTTAAATCTTCTCGTGAAGGCAACTGCATTTGGGGCAGAACTATATTTTTCTTTTTTATTCCATCCACAACTTGAGAGTTCCTGTAGCATTAAGATAAAAATTAAATGTAAATTAAATAATGAGAAATAGCTCAGTTTTCGTGTCATATTAAGAATTTTAAAACATTAAAAACAAAAACAAACAAAAAAACATTAAAACAATTTTTGTTCTTTTCTAGAATGTCTGTATTATATGATAGTCATTTAGTAAAATCACAAAAGTAAATTTTATTAGGATATAGAAGAATGAAATTAGGTGGTAAAAGAGGAAGGGCAAGCTTTTATTCCATAAGCAGAACAGTGGTGGATTCTTCTCTGGAAAGATCCAGGTACTGACAGTTTAGCATCCCACAGCTTAAAGAGTGAAGACTACTAGTTGTCCAGCCCCATTCACTTTGGACTCCCACAATCAGCTTTTAAGTCTCTCCTTTATTTGACAGTCACTGAATTCAGATATTTACGCAACAGAATTCAAACGGCCCTAGAACTTGGATGTTAAAAAATTACTTTTTATTCTACACTAACCTCTAACTGAAATGAGATATTTCTTTATAAATATAAATTATAGATTACATACCCATCAAGACAAAAATAGGAAGATACAGAAAAAGAAATACCAAAGGAAAACAGAGCTTCTGGAAATAAAAAATATAAGTACCGGATACACATGTTATTGCCACATACATACACTCACATCACAGGTACATCACATTACAGTTAGTACAAATATCTCAAAACATCATTTATATTCATTATTCCAAAATTATAACAGTTCTAGGACTCACCTCTATACCTTTCACAGTGGGTTAATAAAGAACTCACAGCCACTTTAAAAATACTGATTTGTGTTATAAACGAACTGATTTTGATTTTTAAAATGAGTTTGTCCATAGGCTTTAGTTTGCCAGTGTCCCAGGGTCCCATATAAGTTACTAAACCTTTGCAGCACAGCCACAACCACCAAAGAGGTAGAATCCATAGGAAAAAGGGAAAAAAAAAATGAAACAAATAAAATGTGAGCTACGTCAAGGGTCAGAAAAAACTGAGACAAGGAAAAGGCATAACATGTAAGTATACTGTCAGAATGATGAGAAAACATGCCTATCAGGCAAAAAGAGGAAGATATAGAGAAAGAAATACCAAAGGAAAACAGAGCTTCTAGAAACAAAAAATATAAGAGAAAAAAATCAATTAAAAGGGTTATCAGACAAAGGTGATAAAATGTTTTTTTAAAAAAAGGCTGAAAGTAGGAGCAAAAGTCAACAATGAGGTAACACAGAAATGGAGAAAAGTCAATACCAAAAATACCTCAGAACTTAAAAATTCAAGAAAAGGCCTGCCTAATGCTCGGGGCAACAAATTTAAAATAAAACAAAATTTTTAAAAAGCTGAAGCACAGAATCAAAAACTTGCAAGACAATGGAGAAGAGAACATAAAGTCCTGGAAGCAGTGTTCTCAAAATCCTAGAATTCCATATCCAACAAAACATCAACTGAGTAGTAAAGAAGATCACAGGCATTTTCAGGTCCAGACATTTCAGAGAATTGCCTTCCACGCGTTTACTTTTAGGGAGCTAGTAAAATTTGTGCTTCACAAAACAAACCAGCCAAGAACAGGGAAGGAGGTGGGGATGGTGGCTCAGTGGTGGATGGTGTGCTCAGCACGCACAAGGCCCAGGCTTCAATCTCCACAACCAAAAAGGGGTGGACGGAGAAAATGAAAAGATCCTGGAAACTGAGGAACATAGAAAGAATATATTGGAAATTCCCTGATGAAAATTGAGAGGTGATCCTGGGACATTAAGAAATCCTGGAGTGGAGCTAGAGCAGAGATACTGGGGGCATAATAGGTCTCAGAAAAAAATGAAACCACAGTCTTGACATGTTTCAATATATAAAGAAGAAAGAATCACTACATTTGATTCTAAAGAACGTGAATGATAGCTACAGAGAGCTAAAGTAAATTCTTAGCTCAAAACAAAATTTTAAGTAATCATAATACAACCATAAAGAATATGGTCAAAACTGTAAAATAACTACATGGGGAAAAGGAGAAATAAATTGTGTAAATGTGTTGCTGGGGGAAACACAACAGTAAAATGTGTCCCCTACAGTAGAATGGACATATATCTAAAACTGAAAAAAATCAAGACGCAATAAGTATTTAACTACTAGTATTTGAAAATGAATATAAATTTTTCCAAGGAGAAACACCTGAGGGATTTGGAAGTAGGAGTCAAGAGCCCAGGCTATACGGTGGAGACTAACAGGGTTATGTACTTCATTCTATTATGAAAACATACAACTTCTAGCTGGGTGTGGTGGCTCATGCCTGTAATCCTAGCACTCAGGAGGCTGAGACAGGAGGATCATTGTAAGTCTGAGACCAGCCTAGGTTACAAAGTGAGCTCAAGGCCAGTCCGACTTGCACAGCAAGACCCTGTCTCAAAAAAGACAAAAAAAAGGGGCTGGGGATTTAGCTCAGCGGCATAAGCACTGCCTTGCAAGCAGGTGGTTGTGAGTTCAATCCCCAGTACCGGTAAAAAAAAAAAAAGGAAAGAAAAATATACAACTTCTTAGAACATAGTACACACATATCTTCAATAAAATAAACTAGAAACAAATGAAAAGGAATAGACTCAGTTATGATACAGCATTCCAAAGGAGAGGGGCCAATGTTCCTTCAAAGAGGATGCTTGTCAGTAGACACTATCAATAAAGTGGTAGATTTAAGATATTTTGGAGGTAGACAGGATCTGAAACAATAAGGAATACTGAGCAAAGACAATCATTGTTTCAACAAAGTAGATAAGCAGTGGATGTTCTGCAGATACAAATTGCTAACTTCTAAAATTAGATGAGAACTTTCAAATTAAAAAAATAAACAACAAAAGCAAGTGTATACTAAAAATACCCTTTGTTACTCAGCCTAGATACATGTTCATTTCATATTAACCCTCATGAGGACACAATATTCATATGCAATTAACATAAATGATTATTATATGGCAACAGTAAGAAAAGCAGCAAACTGTTAGGAAACATTTTTGGTTTTTCTAAAATCACAGCATACTCAAGACATCTACATAAAGATATCTGTTGGAGCAAAATCCCTAGGATTAAATCCACAAATATTCAGTATGTTCTTAGCCAATTTATTTCTAAATTTATAATTTTATAATCAGTGTCCATCAAATTTTAATTAACCTTATCAAACCACTCAAAATGGTCATTTGACATAAAATTTAATCCCAATTATCGACCTTTGTATGAGAGGCTAATTTCAATTTCCTATTAAGTAATGCTACATCTTTTGCTATCTATGATCAATTCCTAAAACACAGTCCTAGAAATGAAATCACTAAGTCAAAGAGCATCACTTTTTAAGGCTTTGATACTTGTCAAATTGCCTTCCAAAATACTTATATTACCGCTAGCATTGTTATTTCCATAAATATTATCAAAACTATGTACATTTGCTTATTTTTTTTTGTCTTTTTCCTTTTTATTGGTACCAGGGATCGAACTCACGACTGCCTGCTTGCAAGGCAGGTACTTATGCCGCTGAGCTAAACCTCCAGCCCTGTACATTTGCTTCTTTCTCTATATTACTCTATATTACTGCCTTAATTTCCCTAACTATAAGTCTGTGTTTCTAAATTCTGAGAAAAAGGGCGAGGGATGAATATGAATCACCTAATAAGCCCACCACTCAAAGAAAACTTCCCTAAATATTTTCCAGTCTTAAGCACGCATGTGGGCCTGTTTTTTAATTTTAAAAGTCTTTCTCATGCTGAGAATAGATGTCTTATTTTTTAATGAAATAATAGCAATAAAATAGTTAAAACACAGATATTAATTACTAGGCATCAACTTACGTGTTTTATATGATGTCTTTATCATTATAATTTACCATCATAAGAAACTCAGATAAAACAATTGGTATCGTTTTTTTACACTTAAAAAACTTCAACATTTTTTTCTTTTTTGGTGCTGGGGATTGACTGAGAGCCTCATACACCTAGGCAAGAGCTCTACCACTAAGCTACATTCCTAGCCCTGTTAACTGGTGGTGTTTTTTTTTTTTTTTTTTTTTTTGACTCCTCAAATAAAAAAAAGTTAAGTTTTTGGAAAATCTACCCGATTCTGAGAACATTTCAGCATAATTTTCTAATGGGAAAATGCTTTCCCACTTCAAGAAAATTCTGTTGGTGGGAGGAGATGATACATTATTTGGGAACAAATGGGCTTAACCACCACTGAAGCTCTCCATTTTAAAGAGACTTCTAATAAAAAAACAAAACAAACAAACAAACAAAAAAAACCACGAAAACACAGGTATTTTTAAAGACCTCAGAAGGCTATAGTTAGTCTTTTTTTCCTTTGTGCCACTTTTTTTTTATTTTAAAGAGAATAAAAAGCAATAAAAGTGATATAGAATTTCCAAACAAGAAAATTAACAATGATTATTATATTGCGTATTGTTGCCTTCAAAATAGTTGCTCAGATTACATTACTAGCCTATTTCATACAACAACAATTAAAATGGATAATCAAGTGGTTGCCAAAGGTTAATGGTGGCAAGGCGTGGAGAGTAGAGGGACAGATGTGACTACACAGAGGCAAAACAAGGTAGAGTTGTCTGCTGGTGTATACTTAATGTATCCTGAATGAGGTGGTACAGACAGACCTACATGTATGATAAAATATTACGTAACAAACACATACTGTAAAAGTACCAGTTTCCTGGTTTTGATATTGAACTACAACTCAGATGTAACTACTGAAGAAATCTAGGTGAAGGGTAAATAGGACTTTTCTGTGCTATATTTGCAACTTCTTACGAATCTCATTATCTCTGTGCTATTTCTTACAACTTCTTGCAACTCTATAATTATCTCAAAATAAAAGGACTTAAAAACAGTAACAACAAAAACCTAAAATTGTAGTAGTAGGAATTCAGGAACGCATCCACTTGTTCATTCTTCAACATGGACATGCATTTACAGTTCCCCAGCCTTACAGGAATTCTGCCTTCCCTC